TTATTAACACTTATTTATTGTTTTATACAAGTTGCCAAATTATTATTATTTTACTATGACAATACAATACAATTATTTTTTCGAGTATTTATGTCAGATATGGGTATTATTTCCTTGGATATTTTTTCTATTGGGTATTATTTCCTAGGGTATTTTTTCTTTCGAGTATTATTTCCTCGGCCATTTTTTACAGGGCATTTTTTCCGTGGGTATTTCTTCCCCGGKTAATTTTTCCTAGATTCCTGTACATTATCTGCTGAGTACACATTACGGCTATATTATATTATATTTATTGTTTATAATTTAATATTTAAATACCTATCTGCAAAAAAAAAATGGTCCAGTCTACCTTTTCCAACTATAAGACCTACCCACCCACCCATTAATATTTTTGTGAATCACATGATTCAAATATACTCCCTTCGAGCCGCCACTGTAGTAACATATCTGTAACTCTTGACAAACGACTCACGTAGYGGCCCCATATTTCATCCAAAGTCCAGCAAGCTTACCAGCGCATCTCAATGCTCTATCCCATCTAGAACAAAAATTCAACTATACAAAAAAAATGCTCTCTCCTAATTTATAAACAAATTATATGCCCAATTCTTACCTACGCTTGCCCGGTATGGGGTAATTGTGCATCCTCACACATMAAAAAAATGCAAATTGTCCAAAACAAAGTCCTCAGAATAATTGCAAATGCTCCATGGTTTGTCAGAAATGCAAATCTCTACAAAGACTTACAAATCCAAGATATCCAATTTCATATTACTACATTAGCAAAAAATTTCCACTGCTCTCTTCCAAACTCATCAGGTGCAATTCACTATAACCTCCTCACTCACCCAACTCATCGTCGATTAAAATGAGGTCGTCTTCACGACCTCCTACACTAAGCCACCTTTCAACATCCAAATCTTCACCCTACACATGTGTTTCTTCCAGATCACTCTTCGACTTCAGTTACTTAAAGTTACACTATTGTAAATATATAAATTTCAGAATATTATTGTAATCTTAAAATTACCAATTGTTAATTATCCTTAGTACTTTAAAAATATTTTATTATTTTAATTATCATGTTATAATGTTAAAACTATTATGTAAACTGTAAAATATCCATAGATTTAGATAGCCTTAGGCTAGGAATGTCTTATGTTTAATAATAAWAAAAAAAAGTAACATATCATTGATTGCACATAGTCTGTAATGAAAAAAATATATATATTATATTAGAAAAAATTTTTGCAGCTTTTTATGTTGAAAAGTGTCAATAAATGATTAAATTATTCATGGAGCACAAATTGTTTGTGCTCTAGGTGGCTTTGTAAATATTAGCTTGATGCCTCGATACATCGATTAGTAATATATGGTAGTTTGGAGCACATTTAATGTGTGCACTGAACCCATTTTTATTCTGCCTACTATCTCGATGTAGCGTCGTTCGTTGAAACATACCACAGTTTAATGAACATTGTACATTAACAAATAATAATTGCTGCCAGTATGTTCTCAAATCAACTAATAACTACTAATAAGTAATAAACTAATAATTATTTTAATATCAAATATATTATAATATAAAAACAGATTAAAATCTTATTGTTACAAAATGAATAGTTTTTACCATCTTACATAAGTATCTATGCATTTTTTTGTGCTCCATCTTTAAGAAACCTCACGAGCCGCCTCTGTTAATAAGTGTAATGTAATCAGGTATTTCTAATATAAAACATGTATGAGTACCATCAGAGGTGTTCACATTAATTTTTTTGAGAGTATACTATATCGTCAAATATAAACATATAATACAATAAGAATATCTTTCTTATGGTTTATAGAAGTAAAGTCGGTAAAGARCGTGTCTATAATATGGAAAAAATTTTAAACCAAATTTTTTATACATCCTCTTTATATTACGTATATTTCGTCAATCTTTACAAATATTGTATAATAATAGTATAATATCGAACATTATTGAGAGCATACATACTACATGGTATACCCATAATATTGAAAAAAAATCTTGAGAGTATACAGAGTATATGTAGTCYACCCTATGAGAACACCCCATGTGTACCACTCTTACTCTACATTTCTTATTATCAGTCTATGGGAAAACCATACAATCCAATAAGTATAGATGTGTGAATAATTAATCAGCTCCAGTGTTGGATTTATAATTTTTCCTTTTACCTCAGCATCACTGAGTGATTTCCACTATATTTGTTATACAACATTTGAACATTAGAAAAACCTATACTGAATAAGGTTAACATTTAGTTAATATGTATAATGTATATACATTTAAAATTACATATTATCAGTATTTCATGGCTTGTGTAAATATTCATATTATAAAAAATAGAAAAAAGTYAATTGTCTAGTATTTAATAATTTCAATATTATTGAAATATTTAACAAAATTGATTATAAAAAAATATTTTTGTATTTTACTAAAAAGTTTGATAACTGTTTCCAAATTATGTGTTATATGTTTTTACTGTTTTTAATTTAATACAATTTAATATAGGAAATAAGTTTACAAAAAAGAATCAAACTTTAGATGAAGAGTTGGATGAAAATAATTGTCCTAAGTATAAATTAGCATTGTTATGTGGACCGCCCGGTCTTGGAAAAACTACTTTAGCTCATTTAGTAGCCCGACAAGCAGGTACATTATTTTTATAATAGTCATTTAATAATTATATTTACATTATTTTTATATTATTAGGCTACAATGTTGTTGAAATGAATGCTAGTGATGATCGTAATCTTACTAGTTTTAAACGACAGCTTGAAGCTACTACACAAATGTGTTCTGTGATGAGTAATGATTCAAGGCCTAATTGTTTAGTGTTAGATGAAATTGATGGAGCACCTGTAGTAAGTAGTAAATATATATACAGTAGTCACTTGATAATTCGAAATTCAGGGGACTGAGTTAAAAATTTGATTTATAAAGGTTTTCGATTTATCGAGTGTTCAAATAATCGAGGAAAAAAAATGTTTTCACCTGCTTCAACTGCCACGATCACTTTTTTTTTATCGGCTATCGACAAACACTTTTACTTTTTGGTCTTTACGGGTCCCGTATTGCAACATTCTACGTTTTATTAAATTTCAATAAAGGTTTACCCATTTCAGAGGTTTATTTTAGTAAAATATGATTAAAGTTTAGATTAGGTATGTGAGATACGATAACATTTATAAACTATAATAATATTTAACCACTGTTGTTATTAGTTTCATTACGAGCATGTTAAATAGATTGTATATTATCTTTATACATATGAACTTACATATAATCACATTAAAAAAAATTTGAATTGTAGAGTGTGCCTCACCTACAGACATTTCAAATTATCGAGGGGACCGGAATGCATGTATTTTTTTCTAATTATAGAGGTTTCCTCATGGGACTTAGTGTTTAGTTTGATTTATGAAGTTTTTCRAATTATCGAGTGACTACTGTATATATTTTTTATTTTTTTATTTTATTTATTTATAGTAATACTATTACAGCTCAACAAATATGTACAAAACATTTATAGTTAATATATGTCAGGGTTCACCATATGGCTGGCTGCCGACAACTTAAACTGACCTGTAGACAAGAAATTAATTTTTTGACGATGAATTAAATGAAGTTTTCATTAATTTTCATTTAATGTTTTTGATTTAGACTTTRTTTTCATTTTATAAACATGTGCATTAAATTTTGATTATCTCCAAAAACTTCCTAAATTTCTAAAGTAGCCTTCAAAAATATTAAATAGTGTTCCCTGATTTACTCAAATAGGCAATAAATATATTATTTATCAAACGAATACAATTAAATCAATATGCATGTGAATTTTTTGTTGTTGTTGGTTATTTAAGGTAATTATAATAATAAGTGTTATAATTACCTTAAAATTCCGGAAAAATTACAATTTTGTAATAAASGAGTATGTTTTATGATTTTATGTTCATGAAAGATAAAGAAAACCAAAAATGTGGTTAACAATCCAAAAAATAAACATCCAAGAAATATCCAAAAAGTTTGATAAAATTTAAAATTGGTAGCGTAATAAAAAATGATTAGCTTAGAATTGTATGCACTTTATATTGTTTTATTGGTTTTAAATTTTTATTAATACCTATTAAGAAAACATTTTTTAATTACATTTTTAGGCCTCAATAGATTTTCTAATTAAATTTGCTACTGAAAAACGTGTGACTCGTAAAAGGAAAACCGATAAAAAAGATGAAAAAAGTTCCATTTTAAAAAGACCAATAATTTGTATTTGTAATGATGTTTATGTACCTGCATTAAGAAATTTAAGGCAAAATGCTTTTGTATTAAATTTCCCCCCAACATCTTCAGTTAGGTATGTTTTATTATTTCTATAATAATAAGCACATTCCTATAATATAACAAAATAATATTATTTTTGCTTAGATTGGTAGAAAGATTAATGGAAATATCAAGTTATGAAAACATTAAAACGGATATGGGGGCAATGACTGCACTTAGCACCAAAACAAATAATGATATAAGATCTTGTTTGTCAACATTATCATGTTTTAGAAATCAATCAGTTAACTTATCGCATATTAAAAATGCTAATATTGGTGCAAAAGATATGCAAAAAGGACTTTTTACTGTATGGCAAGAAATATTTCAAATAAAAAAAAGGTACCTAATGTTAAAAAATTWAAAAAATTTAAATGTTTACAATGAATAATTGAATAAATGTTTATTTTAGCTGCTTTGAGAACAATCCAAATAGTACAAGTGATGGGTTCTCAAGTCATAATAATGTTATGAAAGACAGGTAAAATAATTTATTTAGTTTTCTCTAAAGTAAAAGTTTTAGGAAAATTATATTGATTTTAAATTCATAAAATATTTTGTTATGGCAGCCCCATATTATTGCTATAGTTATTGAGTTGACTGCATCAAATTAATAAATGCTATTATACAAATACAATTAATTTATTGATCTTTATAAATTAGGATTATTAATATATTACATTTTTTGATAGTATTTAATGGTATTATATTTTRATAAACATTTTTATATTTTATGTTCTAATAGAAACATTAATTTAGAAAATACAAATCTATATATTTTATTATATATTTATATTTTTTAGAATTAACAGTGTTTTGAAAACTGTCCAGAGTTATGGAGACTATGAAAAGCTTAGTCAAGGGATTTTTGAAAATTATTTAAGTCTGAAGCCCAAAGATTCATCATTAACAAATGTAAATTAATTATTTATTATGCATTTTGTATTATTAATATTATTTTATAATGTTTAGATTGCTGAAGGCCTAGAATGGTTTTGTAATTTTGACAAGACTATGCATGTGATTAACTCTTCACAAAATTATTCACTATTTCCTTATTTGCCATATAATTTTGCTACTTGGCACTGTTTATTTGCAACATTTACATGGCCTAAAATTACTTATCCCAGTGCTGCATATGAAGTGAGTTGTATTTTCAATTTATACATATATTTATATATATATATATACTATGCTAGAATAGTAAAATGTTTATGTTGCATATTTCATACTACTTTTCTTTCAAAGCACATTTTTGTTGTTTTATGTATGAATAAAATTKTGATTCCTTTGCATACTTTTTCTTATATTATAGCAGGGTGTAATTAAGGGGAATGAGGGGGATAGTTTCTCCCTAAAACTTTTATTTTATTGCTAATATTTCATATTTGGTGGGGTAGGTTAGTGTATAAGGCTTACAGATTTTGCTGAAAATATATACCCCCTCCCCTCAAACCAAATTCCTAATTATTCCACTATGTYATAAACATATAATTAAGTTTTAAATCAACAAAGAAAATTTATTTTTTGTAATTTATGATTTTTAAATGTTAATACTAAAATCAAAAGTCTAATAAAGTAGGTACATGAAACATTTTCCAAAATAAAAAAAAGATAGTAAAAAAAGGTAAKGAAAATGTTTTGATGGGCTTTTAGTTACTAAAGTTATATATATATATATATATATTAGGAGGCAGTTAAAGTGTAGAAAGAAAGCAATAACCAAAATTAATAATTAATATCCATAACTAAAGTATAGAGTATATTCTATGACTAAAGGTACGAAGTACAAAAAATGAAAAAAAAATAAAATGGTTGTAGTAGTTGTACTATTGGTATATATTTATCATATACCTATTATTTATTATATTTAAATACTTAATGAAAGGATATATATATGCATGTACATTTGATTTAATTAGTTAAATAATAAATATTTGATACAAATACAACTGTTGTTGTTTCTGTTTTTGTCATCACTTACTGGAGGAAAATAATACTAAATATTCTAAATAAGGACAATAATCAAAAATAGAGTTTGGTAACAACATGACCGCAGTGGGTGATATTTGTGGCTTGTGCTCACTATTTTTACATGAACATAATGCAGTATTTTTTCTTAGTTTATTTTTAAAATTAAAATTAATTATTTTCTACTATAATAACTTYGGTATTTCATAGTATAATAAACTCATAGTATAATTTTAATCTGAACATTTTAAGACTATTATTGGTGATGGATTTTAGGAACATGCCCTCATGAAACCCAAACAAGTGCCAATATTAGGAAATAATGCATATCGCATGATTTATCTTACATGAT